TGTGGTGACCTTGGGTTCTGTTACAGCCCTCTGGGGAGCATGTGGTGACCTTGGGTTCTGTTACAGCCCTCTGGGGAGCATGTGGTGACCTTGGGTTCTGTTACAGCCCTCTGGGGAGCATGTGGTGACCTTGGGTTCTGTTACAGCCCTCTAGGGAGCCCATAAAGTCACCATTAGCATTGCCGGTGCAGGTTTATAAAGAGAACACTTGAGGAGGATGTCCAGTAACTTAATGTCTTACAAACTGTGGAATGATCTTCCAAATGTAGTTAAAAGCTATACGGTTCCCAAGCAGTTTAAATGAGAAACTAATAAATATGTACTTATCGTCATGTAACACATTTCATTCACACTTTTTCTGCCAAAGAAAATACAGTTTTTGTGTTTGGTGTTATTTAAAAATTTATATACTAAAATTGTTTTCCCTGTGCCTTTTATCAATAAATGTCATTAGCTAATGTACATAATGTGCTAAATGACCTATTGAAGTCATATGTGTTAGCTTACTTCTGGTTTATTGATAAATGTTTATTTCATTAAACCTTTTAATTTTTCGATATATTTTATGTGTTGCTATGAATGCCTGGCGTTCTAGTGACTTTACTAAAATACATATTTGTATATTTTTGTTGTTATTAATAATATTCAATACAATTTCTATACTCTTACTAAAACTACAGATTCTATAATGTAGTACTTAAAATATATATAATTTATTTTAGAATCTTTCAATTACTAAAAATGTTACCATACATCATTTTATTTGATGTATTAATTTTAATTTATTTTACCTAATTTTAATTATTCCCCCATTACAATTTTTCATTTTATCCTAATTAATTGTTATTTTATGACTCCCTGAAGGCAGTATACTACAAGCTAAATTTCTGAGCAATTTTTATGTTGCTTACTTCTTGTTTAGCATTAAGTGTCTACCTCATCCAACTTTGAAACCTCTGTAAACAACGTAATTGTTTTATCTTAAATTGTACCCAAAAAGCTCTGTATTCAAGTGGCTTTACACATTGTATTTATCTTACCTATGTATCTTCCTCTGTTCAGCTATGATATATATTTACACTTGTATAAATGAAATATTATTATTATTATTAAAGTTAATTGACAATATGGGTGAAGTAGCATCGTTCACAGAAACATAATGGTGCCTCTCACTGAGTTAAGATTGCAAGTATTGACGGGAGAGGCTCCAAAGTGTGACACTTGTCCAGGGGCTACTCGGGAAGAGCCTTCCTTGCCAAGTGTGACATTGTAAAATATTTCAAGATCACTCAAATTAGCCCTGCAGATTACCACCACCTTGGCTTTGCCTATAAATATCGTCTCTACAACAACAAAATGTCTAGCTTTGGCGTTCTCATCTACTCTGACTTGGAATTTGGCATTTAAACTCAGTCACCAGTGTGATTAAGGTACTGAACGACTCTTCTTTCTTCCAAAAATGTTATCAAGATTGCTTCACACAATCTTAACAAGATTCGCTCGTTCATCATCCTGTAAGGGGGGGACACGGAACATGTCATGTAAGGGGCACTAGCTTCTAAGCCGTATCATTTATTTATTTATTTACTTATTTATGTATATACAAGAAGGTACATTGGGAATGTGAGGATACATAATATGGTAATTACAGTCTTGTAAAGCCACTAGCACGCGCAGCGTTTCGGGCAGGTCCTTAATTTAAGAAAATTATAAGTAGGTAAATACTTGCAAAATTTATAGACAAAAAATTGATAACAGTTACATGGAATGAAAAATAGAAGATGAGAGAAAATTGTAGGTACAGTATATTAAAGCACATAGGTAGCTAAGATTGATTGCAATGACAGCTTGAATGGTAGTTGACAAAAATTGGTAGTCACAATACAGCATATGGCTAGCACATTAAAGAAGACAGCAATGAACACAATGATAAGGTTGTTTGATACTACATAAACATTGGGATATTGGGTAACACTAGGTACAAAGCAAATTTAAAGCTCAGTGTAGGAAACTAAGAAGATGAAATTAGGTACTTTTTGGTTTTGCTTTTAAATAAGGCAAAAGTTTTACAGTTTTTCAATTCACTAGGGAGTGAGTTCCATGGACTAGGTCCCTTAATTTGCATAGAGTGTTTACACAGATTAAGTTTGACCCTGGGGATATCAAAGAGATATTTATTTCTGGTGTGGTGATAATGGGTCCTATTACATCTGTCCAGGGAGAGTTTCAGAGCATGGTTTGCATTTAAGAACAGGGTTTTGTAAATGTAGTTGACACAAGAGAATGTGTGGAGGGAGTTAATATTTAGCAAGTTTAGGGATTTAAACAAGGGAGCTGAGTGTTGTCTGAAAGCAGAGTTAGTTATTATTCTGATAGCAGATTTTTGCTGCGTGATGATGGGCTTAAGGTGGTTTGCAGTGGTAGACCCCCATGCACAGATACCATAATTAAGATAGCGATAGATTAGTGCATAATATAGAGAGATGAGAGCAGAGTTAGGAACATAATATCTGATTTTACAGAGTATACCAACTGTCTTAGAGACTTTCTTAGTTATGTGTTGAATGTGGGTGCTGAAGTTGAGTCTCTTGTCTAGGAATAGGCCAAGAAACTTGCCATCATTTTTATTACTGATGTTAATGTTGTCTATCTGTAGCTGAATTGAATTTGATGATTTGCTTCCAAATAAGATGTAGTCTTTTCGATGTTTAATGTTAGTTTGTTCGTTGAGATCCATAACTGGACTTTTTTAATTAATTATTCACAACATTATTTAGTGTATGTGGGTTGAGGTTAGAATATATAAGGGTAGTATCGTCAGCAAACAATATAGGTTTGAGAATATTAGAGACATTAGGCAGATCGTTTATATATATAAGAAATAGAAGCTATCATGGAATACAAGCTATCAAAACCCGGTCATTTACTTCCTTACTTGACGTACTGGTATGTTACTTTACATCAAAAATACAGAACAAATGAATATTATAAAGAAACACTTCAAACACGAGAGTAATAACTCTGGGCTTGCACTTGCCAAAAAATTTAATTCTTGGGACTGAAACGAACGAATCGAGTGCGTGCATTACATTTAATAAAAGACTCAGGGAATAGGACTTATTGCAATAGTAAACACTCGCCAGATAGACGTTCGTACTCCTTAGTTCATTTATCTCCCCCTCCGGGATCTAAAATATCTGATTCACAAACTACAATTCTTGACTTTGAGATAAGTGAGAAGCCTTGTTAAGTGTGTTGATCCTGGATCGGCGTGTGCGGGAAATATCCCAGCAGGTAGATTCATTAAATGTAATTGATAATGTGGAGTGGTCTGTATTAGGGAAAAATGGACTGTTAAAATTCTTGACTTCTGCTTGGTGTTAACCTTTACACATATCTTGGGGGGGAGGGGGTTATTCAATTATAGCCTATCTATCGATAATTTTAGATTGATAGGAAAATTTGTAATAATTCTTAGTTAACTAAACTACTGGTATTAGTGTGGATACTCAATGGCCTTATCTAACTTGAAGGGTTCAGCATGAGTATAAGACAGGCATCAGGAAAATCAGTCAGGTATGAGTCTCATGGACTTTGGCGTTATAACACGTTACGGCTCGTTGATGTTACTGATTCCCCGATAACCACTAGAGATCTGCTAAACAATTACAACTTATTAACTACGGCAAATGTGTTCCCTATCGCAGATATGTCACGTTCAGAAGAATTAGTTAAATGATTATGAGAAAGTTACCATGATTTATTGGGTCACCTTCCTCATAACCGGCTGTCTATCTATTATGCTATTAAAAGGCCAATTAATATAAATAGACTAGATATAGGACAAACCAGATACAAGGCAATCTCGTAGTTAGAGGTCACAGCAGCTGTAGAACGCTGTAACGGCACGGATGTCCAGTACAAGCATGGCTGCTAAGTTTGCTTCCTCACGAGACCAATTCTAGATAAACAGTGGCATCTCTTCCACCCCTGTGTCTAGTCACGTTACTATTCACACCGCTAATTTCTGCCCATTTATTAACGAGGACAGGGAGGCGTCTTTTTATGCATTATTTTATCAGTTCCGATCAGAGAAAACAGTTTTTTACTGTTTGTTATGCTGGACTGGAAGTTTCCAAGAAAGTAAATTATGTTTAATGTATATAAAGTTTATGGGGTGACCATTTCCTCTCCGATTGACTCGTTTAGTTACGTCTTGTATATTTCGCCTCAGGGAGAAAGTTACTTAGTTCTATCTTAGCTTCAATTGAATCCAGTCTTATATAATACTTTTAAAAATAATTAAATTGTAGACTGGAAGAATTAAGAATTTGGGAGAAATAATAGTTACGTCGCCAATGTTGGCTGACACAGTACTCCGCTATGCTGTCCAGAGAGCATCTAGACCTTTCCTCACTGGAAATTAATACAGTTAGTATGGTTAGTTTTCTGACGTAACGAATTTAGCTTATTATATCAGGGGTTAGTAATTGGGGTGTCGGAAATATCCGACAGCGTGCTTCAGTGTAGGCCTTACTCTTCGCTGGAGAGTGAATGTAGTTTCTATAAACTTATAGGCTGATTCTTCATAAATAGGATGACCATATGTACCGTTTTGAATGAGTCTGTATTTTTTCATATTTCCAGACTGTTGCGTCATTTTAATAACAAATTTAATTTTCCCCGTTTATAATAAAATCAATAAATAATTTTTAATACTGAACAATCATAAGTTATTATCAATAACTTATAATCGCATATCAATATTATGGATACAAGTACCTCGTATAACCATAGAGTTGTATTATTTGATTGATATTGGCAATTATTTATTCAGAGTAAATAACAAATTCATGTTGGCAACCTTGTGAATCTCTGATGCAGTGTGTGTTCTGCTGTCGCGTTAGTTTTGGTTTTGCCTGTATGTTAACCTGGGGCTTTGTTGTTCTATGCCAGTGGCTTATACTTCATATTTGTTAAATCATTGTCTATCTTTACAGTGTCAAAGAGGCGAAACTACAGGTTTACTGACGATCTCCAGAAGGAATTCAAATTTATTAAACTGGACAATCTGTGGGGTGATGGAACAAGAGTGGTATGCCAGCTTTGTAAGATCTATTTTTCCGTGGCTCGCCGTGGTAGAAACGACATCCAGTTACATCTACATTCCCAGAAACATAAGGATGTTGTAAAGACTCTGGCTTCTAGTAAGTAAATTTTATTATGGATTTTGTCATTGCAGAATAATTGCAAACTCAATAAGTTCATGTAATAAAACTTGTTATCACTTTACTTTTTCATCAATTTAATATATATTACGTAACTCACTTTTTCCTTCACAATGTCCAGTTTTTGTCTGAAGGTAATATGATCAGCCTACTGATAAACGGCTAACACAAATTTGCAGTTAATTTTAAGTTATAAGATGAAACAATCAATCTCTTACAAGAAATAAAACTACTGACAGGTATATAATGAGGAAGATTTGAGTTTACATAACTGCTATATAAATTTCAATAGGGTAAGGTATTGATTACGAGACATTATATTGATGGAGTTACAGTTCTAGACAGTAAAGTATTAGGTAAGTTAGTAGCACAAGATGGAACACTATGATAAGGAAAGCTGCAGATGTACTGTGTCTACCACAGAAACTCCTTTTCGGGACATTCTCTGGACCAAAAGAGAGTTTCCCTTGGATTGGAAATTTGTCACTCCCAACTTCAAAAAAGTTAGAAAGAGCTCAGCAGAAATCTGCTGACTGATCAGCCTGACCTCATATATCTGCGAGTACAGAGAGAATCTTAATAGAATAATTTAACATCTCAATTATTCACCAATCTCGTCAAATCAACACAACATGGGTTTATTAAAAATAATTACTGGCTTACAAATCTGCTCACATTTTTAGAAACCTAGATCTTACCTGGAGAAGGTCTCCAGAGTTGGTCTATTCCCTGAGCCCAGCCGTGGAATAGAACGTTGTAGTTGATATATGGGCATATGGGCCCATATATTGACTACAACCAGGTTGTTCTAGTAGTTCTTGGAAGAACTAATCTAATTGCTTCTTGAAGAAATCCACCTTTGCCCTAACCTAGCCAACTAGTGAACTTACGAACAAAAAATGTTACATTATGTAAATATCGCAAGCCACTACCATATTCTTGTACATGAAATTTTAGCCTTAGGTAAAGTATACGTCAAAATGCGTGCTATAAAAAAAGGTAAGTTATTCATATTAATCTCATTTTATGGGCTATCACTCCATGGTCACACTTGCCTCTGCAAGATATGTGTATGACTTTTTTATGTAAAGGTGAGGTGAAGGTTTTTTATGATTGCCGTTCATCGAGTGTTAATTTAGCTGTGTGCAAATATGATTTGTGACTGTGCTATTGCCTCTCTCCTTTGACCACCCATAAATAGCTTCATTGTCTACCACTTAATTTACGATCGAAATATATTCATATGTTTTTATGTTAATGATAATTAATATTGTATTATCTTACTGTATTTATTTTTACTAATTTCTTCATATGTAAACTTGCAGATAATCCGTTTGTGTGTAGCACCATAGTACGGCTCCCCGGAGCTATCCATGGCTGATATGGATATCCTAACTATTTTGCATCAGTCGATGTGGGTGGAGGTCTAGGCCTACCAGGGACCACGAGCCAGAACCTGGCCCCCTCAGAGAGGCACGGGGAGTAATGGCCCATAGAAATGCACATGTGATTTGGAGCATTCTATATCTGCCATCGACCGGGACAGGCACCCAGAAAGGTAAGCGCCACAAAACAAACCCCTATTCTGGTTAACAACAAAATTGACAAACGAGTGGACAGAACTCCCCAAAAGAAAAACAAGCAAACAAGCATGACGTCACACGAGCCGCGCCGCATGTCTGTGCAGCTCCCCCCCTCCCCGGGAGGGGAAGGGGGAGCCCCAGACCCCCGCACCGGCGATCCACGCCCCAGTTCCTCGGCTGATGGGATAATGCACTGTCGTGTGGCTCCAGCTCCAGTCTTGTCTCAGTGCTGTGACTTGTTTTCAGTGCTGCTCTTATGGTGGTCGTGTGAGCTGGGAGTAGTATTCTGAGGTACTCGGGCTGCATGTGCTTAGGGTCACCTTCCCTGAGTGCCCTGTAAGTACCGCCCTTGGGGCTTGGGGTTGCCTTCCACAAGTCACCTTGGGTCTACCTCTGTTAGTCTTTCACTGCTTGGCGTTTGGCCGCCCTGAGTGTTTGGGGTTTTCTTCCCTTGTTTACCTTGGGGTAAGTGGTAGTTTTTGCATTGGTGGGGCACAGGGTACTGCGTAGCTAGTTTTCACCTATAACGTCGGCCGGCTCTGTTCCCCACTTGCGTGGTTTTTCTTTTCTTTTTGTTTTTGCCTGGTGGGGGGGGGGGGTCTGCCTTGTTTTTCCCTCCCCTTTATATTAGGGTCGTTTGTGTGGTGGCACCCCCTGCTTCGCCCTCGCAAGTGGACACGTCCCAAGGGTTCAGCTTTTAGCAGTGTTGCTTGGTAGTTTGGGGCGCCGGTTAGCAGTGCCCTGCCTGGGATAACCCTTAGCAGACCCAGTCTAGGGACCCTGGAAAACCCCGCGGGGCTCTCGGGTCCGATGGAGGAGACCCTTGCGTCCCCTCTCGCTTTGTGCGAGTTTGAGGGTTGCTCTGTCCCCTTGTCTCAGGGTGACTCTCATTGTTTTTGCCTCCGTCATGCTGCCTGTTGGGTCGGTGACACATTCGACCCTGAGTCCTGCGAGCTGTGTTGCTTGTTTGTGACTCAATTCACCCAGTCTGCTGATGATGATACTTCTGGTGCAGGCAGCTTGTGCATTGCATGGTAGGTTTAGGTTGTTGCAACGCGTGCGGGTTCTTGTTTCCCCGGACGCCCCGAGGCTGCCCCGTTTTGTGTATAGGGACCCGAACTTGGGGGTGTTGGTCGCTTCGGCCTTGGTTCCGTCCATGCCCCCTTGTTCTTCCCCTTCGGTGGTTCATTCGGTCGTCCCCCCGTCCCCCTGCTTCCGGCCCCTAAGCGTCTGAGGGCTTCGGGGTCGGGGTGGGGTTTAGAGGTTTCTGAGACTCGGGCAGTTTCGGGGGTTGCCCCGTCCGGGGGGGCTACGGAGGCATTCGAGTCTGTTCCTCCGGCCTATGCTCTTGGGTTTGATGTGTGGGCCCCTTCTCTTCTCGGAGCTTTCGGCTGCCCCGGCTTTTTCTTGTGAGGCCAGGGTTTTGGAGGATGGCTTGGCCCCGGAGCCTGGTGTGGAGGCTCCTGGGGTTGGTTTGGAGCTGACTTGAGGGCCTTGGGCTCCATTGGACCCCGCCTCGATTTTCCCCGTCCTTCTGAGCTGAGGGCTTACTGAGGCAAGGAGTGGGGTTTTCCTTTCCCCCTTCTGCGTACAATTTGGACTTGGGTTCTGCTCCTCCCCGGGTTTCCGTGTCCCTGTGGGTCCTTGTTCCGTCTTTCTGGAGGTTTTCGGTCTCTCTCCATCTGAGGTGCGGTCGGCCTTGGGGGCTTCCTTCCTGCGTGACCCAGAGTAAGAAATGGACGGTCTTCCTTCCGACTCATTCAGTGGGTTCTCTGAGGTTCCGGACGTTCCTGGGCGCCCCTTGAGGTGGACCTCTTCTGTGTCGGCACGTGGTCGAGGCGTCTTCCAGGTTTACCTGGCCCTTCCCCGACCACAAGGCCTTAATGATCGATGCGTTTCCTGGCAGGACTGGTCGAGGTGGGGGTTCCTGTACCTCTTTCCTCTGGTTCAGCTGTGGCTCCAGGTCGATCCTGGCTCGCTTGGAGCTACTTACCAGGGCTTGCGAGTTGTCCTCTTAGGGCCGTGGGGTCTGGCCGGCCCAGCCGTGGTTTCAGGCACTGCTTGCCCTATGTCCGAACCCTGAGGTTTTTCCGCGCGCTCCGCCTCTTTCAGGCGGTCGGCTTCCTCTTTGGTCCGCTTACAAGACTGGTTGCTCTTCTCCCTTTTGTCTTCGCGTTTGGTATTTTTGACTCGAACGTTTATCACCAGTCTTCCTGGTGATCAGGTGTCTGAGTTATTGGTTTCTCACCTGCGAGTTTCCTCTCAATGGCAGTATGAAGTTTCCTGGCTGTCCTTCCGGTTCTTTTTGACCCTTCGTCGTTGTTCCTCGCTTTCGGTTCGGGTGGTGTTGTCCTTTCTCTCTTGGTTGTTTCAGGACCGTCATCTGATGCCTAATACTGTCGCCTCGTAACGTGCGGCGCTGGCAGAGCCGCTGCAGCTGGCTTTCAGAATTTATGTTACTTCTGCGCAATTTCGCAAGTTGTCTCGGGCATTGTTTCACCTCCAGCCTGCTCATGCGCCGCCTGAGCCGTCCTGGTCCTTTGACAGAGTGCTCTTCTATCTTTCTTTTCTTCGGTTTGTTGTGCCCCTTCGGTACAAGATTGTTTTGCTAAGGCTCTTTTTCTGTTGACATTAGCCTCTGGGGGTCGCGTGGTGGAGCTTCATGCTCTTCTCCGGCGCAGAGGTTTTTGCTCCTTTGGTCGTGGTCTTCGTTATGTTTGTCTGCAGCTGTCTCCCTTTTTTCTGGCGAAGAATGAGACTGCTGCTTTCCGGAGGGATCCTTGGGTTGTGGATGCTTGGTTTGTCAGCCCGGGGGTTCACCATGTGTTGTGTCAGGTTGCGGCCCTCTGCTGTTATCTGTGCACCACGGCTTCTGTGTCCAGGGACAAGCTTTGGGTTGATCCGGTTTCCCTTCTTCCCTGTTCACGGGTTCGGGTCTCTCAGGTCGTCCGCAGGGTTATTAAATCCAGCCAGCCTGCGGTCTATCCCCGTGCCCATGACATTCGTAAGTTTGTTGCTCTTGCTGCCGTCTTCATCAATATGTCTTGGGCTGACATTTGGGCATGGGGATTTTGGCGGTCGAACAGGGTCCTGGCTGCACGCTACCTTGTGAACGTTTCTGGGCCCAGTCGGGCCTGTGTTGCTTTTGGTCGGTGGTTGCAGCCCGTGGTCTCGGCTTCGTCTTGAGGTGTGGAGCACCCACCGCCTCCCGGGTAAGTCCCCTTGGTTTTCTTTGGTGAGGTAGCTCCGGGGAGCCGTAGGGGCTCCCCCCAGAAAACCAGGATTGAATGTAATGAAACGCCATTTTCTGGGTGAGTCCCAGAGGCTCCCCGGCATCCCTCCCACCCTCCGGTCAGCGGTTTTTCGTGTTTTTTATATCCAACCTCTGAACTGGGGCGTGCATCGCCGGCTCGGGGGTCTGGGGCTCCCTTTTTCTCCTCTGGGGGAGGGGGAAGCTGCGCAGACATGCGGCGCGGCTCGTGTGATGTCATGCTTGTTTGCTCGTTTTTCTTTTGGGGAGTTCTGTCCACTCGTTTGTCAATTTTGTTGTTAACCAGAATAGGGGTTTGTTTTGGGGCACTTACCTTTCTGGGTGCCTGTCCCAATCGATGGCAGATATGGAATGCTCCAAATCACATGTGCATTTCTATGGGCCATTGCTCCCTGTGCCTCTCTGAGGGGGGCCAGGTTCTGGCTCGTGGTCCCCGGTAGGCCTAGAACTCCACCCACATCGACTGATGCAAAATAGTTAGGACTATCCATATCAGCCATGGATAGCTCTGGGGAGCCTCCGGGACTCGCCCAGAAAATGGGGTTTCATTACATTCAACGTGGTTTTTCAACCTCCATGGCGTACAACTAATCGGTTCACCACCGCTTGGGCACCCTGGCCATGAGACCAATGGCCCAGGAAGACAGCCAAAATGGCAGCCAGGAAGGCAGCCAGGATGGCAGCCAGGAAGGCAGCCAGGAAGGCAGCCAGGATGGCAGCCAGGAAGGCAGCCAAAAAGGCAGCCAGGATGGTAGCCAGGAAGGCAGCCAAGAAGGCAGCCAGGAAGGAAGCCAGGATGGCACCCAGGAAGGCAGCCAAGAAGGCAGCCAAGAAGGCAGCCAGGAAGGCGGGGTTTTCTCAGGGACCGGATAAATAATCTGGACCAGAAAGTGTTGAGAAGCAAGGCTTACTTGTGCTCTGCCAAGAAGGTAACTTGAGAGCCACAGTGTTTATGATCCTGGGCTGATGGATTTGCTCCACCCGTCACGGGTATAGGGAAAAGGAGGCTGGAGGGGGGGGGGGAAAGAAAGGGGAGAAAGAGGGAATAGAGAGGAGAAAGCGAGAGGGCAAACTCTCTTGCAAGGGGGACAGACCGCCGAACCACCAAGTGGGACCCTTGACTAAGGATTTATTGTCCCTGTCCAATGTCTAACCTGCCAAGGACTGGGTAGGGAGAAGAAGGAAGGGGAAGGGAGAGCGAGAGCTTCAACAGGCCGTTACACTTTGACCCCATGCGTGTGGCAGAAGCTCTATCCACTCAGCTATGAGATTTCATAGCTGGGTGAATAGAGTCTCCTAGAACCCAGATGAATGAAATGTTTATATCCAGGAAGTGTGGAGGACAATTTAGTAGATATGACATTACTGCATATGGGACAATATTAGTTTAACACATCATATTAACAGTAAATATTACATTATAAACTGCAGGAACTGGTACAGAACGCTGAAGACGCAGGAGCGACGGAGGTGGAGGTGGTGCACGACACCCGCCGAGTCCAGTGTCCCGGAGCTCACGCTCATCTTCACACCTTCCTCACGGTAAATGATTTGTTTCTTGTCATAACTTCCAGTCATCAGTAGCCTGGTGTACATGGGAGTGTTTCTGTACACCAGCATGCTAGTGTACATGGGAGTGTTTCTGTACACCAGCATGCTAGTGTACATGGGAGTGTTTCTGTATGCATGAAATGTGATAAAATTTTCAGGATTGATTAATAGGGAAAACTTCTAGGGGACTTGTACTGTATTAAATTAAAAAATTACTGTATGAAAATTAATTCAACTAAAGTCCCTAGCTAGGGTCGTAAATCCTAGCTCCTCTTTTCTAATGGCAGACTGTGGGCTGCTAGGGGCAGGTGGGGTCCCTAAAGGTGAATGGAGAAGTTGATTGAAGATCCACAATCCACCTGCGGACAATTCGACACATCAGCTTGTATCGTTAATACAAGGATAAGATTAACTAACTTAGTTCTAGATTTGAACACTGGTTCTGTATAAATCAAGGATCTAAACATGTACACAGTCCAGCCTAGCACCATAACTACAACAGTCAAAATTCATATATTAACAAACACAACAATTAGTATTGTAGAAGTATGATTATGAATATGCAATTAAATGATCTTAAATATGGTCCCAGTACTGTTAACTAAGTACAAGAGATTATATTCAATATGATAAACTTATTTTATAAATTAAAGATAACTAAGAAAGCAATTGTTAACTTAAGGTATATTATCAATATTATATATATATATATATATATATATATATATATATATATATATATATATATGCGAACAAGCCTGAATGGTCCCCAGGACAATATGCAACTGAAAACTCACACCCCAGAAGTGACTCGAACCCATACTCCCAGAAGCAACGCAACTGGTATGTACAAGACGCCTTAATCCACTTGACCATCACGACCGGACATAATGAGGTGATAGCCGAGGCTATTTGAACCACCCCACCGCCGGCACTCGGATAGTAATCTTGGGCATAGCATTTTACCAAATCACCTCATTCTTTGGGGCACACGTGAGGAACACAAATGCGAACAAGCCTGAATGGTCCCCAGGACAATATGCAACTGAAAACTCACACCCCAGAAGTGACTCGAACCCATACTCCCAGGAGCCACGCAACTGGTATGTACAAGACGCCTTCATCCACTTGACCATCACGACCGGACATAATGAGGTGATAGCCGAGGCTATTTGAACCACCCCACCTTCGGCTATCACCTCATTATGTCCGGTCGTGATGGTCAAGTGGATTAAGGCGTCTTGTACATACCAGTTGCGTGGCTCCTGGGAGTATGGGTTCGAGTCACTTCTGGGGTGTGAGTTTTCAGTTGCATATTGTCCTGGGGACCATTCAGGCTTGTTCGCATTTGTGTTCCTCACGTGTGCCCCAAAGAATGAGGTGATTTGGTAAAATGCTATGCCCAAGATTACTATCCGAGTGCCGGCGGTGGGGTGGTTCAAATAGCCTCGGCTATCACCTCATTATGTCCGGTCGTGATGGTCAAGTGGATTAAGGCGTCTTGTACATACCAGTTGCGTGGCTCCTGGGAGTATGGGTTCGAGTCACTTCTGGGGTGTGAGTTTTCAGCTGCATATTGTCCTGGGGACCATTCAGGCTTGTTCGCATTTGTGTTCCTCACGTGTGCCCCAAAGAATGAGGTGATTTGGTAAAATGCTATGCCCAAGATTACTATCCGAGTGCCGGCGGTGGGGTGGTTCAAATAGCCTCGGCTATCACCTCATTATGTCCGGTCGTGATGGTCAAGTGGATTAAGGCGTCTTGTACATACCAGTTGCGTGGCTCCTGGGAGTATGGGTTCGAGTCACTTCTGGGGTGTGAGTTTTCAGTTACATATTGTCCTGGGGACCATTCAAGCTTGTTCGCATATATATATATATATATATATATATATATATATATATATATATATATATATATATATATATATATATATGTCGTACCTAGTAGCCAGAACGCACTTCTCAGCCTACTATGCAGGGCCCGATTTGCCTAATAAGCCAAGTTTTCATGAATTAATTGTTTTTCGACTACCTAACCTACCTAACCTAACCTAACCAAACTTTTTCGGCTACCTAACCTAACCTAACCTATAAAGATAGGTTAGGTTAGGTAGGGTTGGTTAGGTTCGGTCATATATCTACGTTAATTTTAACTCCAATAAAAAAAAATTGACCTCATACATAATGAAATGGGTAGCTTTATCATTTCATAAGAAAAAAATTAGAGAAAATATATTAATTCGGGAAAACTTGGCTTATTAGGCAAATCGGGCCTTGCATAGTAGGCTGAAAAGTGCGTTCTGGCTACTAGGTACGACATATATATATATATATATATATATATATATATATATATATATATATATATATATATATATATATATATATATATATATATATATATATATATATATATGTCGTACCTAGTAGCCAGAATGCACTTCTCAGCCTACTATGCAAGGCCTGATTTGCCTAATAAGCCAAGTTTGCCTGAATTAATGGTTTTTCGACTACCTAACCTACCTAACCTAACCTAACATTGTCGGCTACCTAACCTAACCTAACCTATAAAGATAGGTTAGGTTAGGTTAGGTAGGGTTGGTTAGGTTCGGTCATATATCTACGTTAATTTTAACTCCAATAAAAAAAAATTGACCTCATACATAATGAAATGGGTAGCTTTATCATTTCATAATAAACATATTAGAAAAAATATATTAATTCAGGAAAACTTGGCTTATTAGGCAAATCGGGCCTTGCATAGTAGGCCGAGAAGTGTGTTCTGGCTACTAGGTACTACATATATATATATATACCATATATATATATATATATATAGTAGCCATACACAGACTCAGACTTGGTTACAAGTGCTGCTGGTATATATATATATATATATATATATATATATATATATATATATATATATATATATATATATATATATATATATATATATATATATATATATATATATATATATATATATATATATATATATATATATATATATATACCAGCAGCACTTGTAACCAAGTCTGAGTCTGTGTATGGCTACTGCAATGTCTCTGGATATCTTTTTGCCAGGCTTGAAAAAGGAGTAACCAGTGGCTTGTTCGTACCATATCGCAGTGGATGTTCCTTCCGCTACTTTGGCTCTGTGGCGACTTTTGATAGTTGAGAATATTTTCTTCTTGATTTGCTCCTTTATCTGTGAGAAACTTGGAGGGATTTGAACCTGTACAACAGGTAGAGTAGTGGCAGTTTTTGCTAGTGAGTCTGCCTTTTCATTAACATCTATGCCAATGTGACTTGGTAACCAATTTAGGGTGATTGACAGCCCTAGATTATGGGCTTCTTTTCCAATATGTTGAATTTCTGTGAGGAGTTGTATATTATATCTGTGCTGACTGGATAACAATGCCTGGAGCGATGATTTAGAGTCAGTATGAATGATAACATCATGTAAATTATTCTCAATTGTATAGTTTATTGCCTCCTTCAGGGCATATAATTCTGTTTGCAATGTTGAGCACCCACTATTCATGCTCCAGTAAGCTTCATGGTTGGTAGTTTAAACTGCTGCCCCAGTAGAACCTTTTTCTTGATCAACTGATCCGTCTGTGAAGATGTGAGTCGTTGTAGGTCTTGAGATGGTTTCCATTTGTTGTTCTATTACTTCCTTGAGCCTCTGCGGGTCACATGCTGATTTTTTAACTGGTAATCCTTCAATAATTATCTTTAGATTCGATTCTTCCCATGGAGGAGGCTGTCGAAAGTGTTGATATGGTCTATCTTCCCCTTTGTTTTTAATGATCCATTTCAGGTCCACTTTCTCTAGAATCTTGACCAGATTATCCATCAATGAGCTTGTTCTATACTGTAGGTTTTTCTGAAAGGATCTCTGTATGCTGTCTTTGATTGACAGTCTCGCGGTTGTTCCAATAAGTTTTGCTGGTATGGTGGCTATCCTTTGTTCCATCCTGTTTTCTAATGCTGGTAAATTTGTTTCCATTCTAAGGTTCTCTCTACGCGTCCATATAGGTGCTCCCAGCATTGTTCTCAATTTCGACTGGCTGTCTATTATGACTCCTAGGTATTGAAAAGAGGTAACCAACTCAATTTCTTGTCCTTGTATTGCCAGTCTGATGTCTTGAGTTTTCATTTTAACGGCCATTGCTTTGGTTTTATTGCTGTTTATTTTCACTGCTAAGCGTTCCGCTTCCCTGTTGATAATATCTAGGCATTTTTGTGCATGGTTCCTTGCACCTTTGCCATTGATAACGACCACAAAGTCGTCTGCATAGTTAAGAAGTTTGGCTTTTGGTAGCTTGAGCTTCATGAATTGTTCCATGAGACAGTTGAAGAGGAAGGGGCTTAGTATTCCTCCCTGCGGAGTTCCATCTTCCAGCCTCTTTGAGGTCAATGTTTTTCCTTGGAATTTGACTTTAGCTTCTCAGTTAAGCAGGCTTCCTTTGGCAAAGGCAAGAGCGTGTCCTTTGATTTCCTTATCCATAAGGCAGCACAGTGTAGCTGGAGCACTGGCTAACTCGAAGGTTTTTTCAAGGTCTAGAACAATAAGGATTCCAGGTTTGTCATTGATTTGATCCAGGAGGGAGGTAAGGCATTCTGTGGTTCCAACACCTTTTCTGTAAGTAAACATATTTTGGTGTAGTGGCTTTCCATTCAATTCGATTAAGGGCCATTCTTTCTGCAGTTTTGGCCAGACAGCTTGTTAATGAGATGGGTCTTGCATTTCCTGGGTCTTTAGGTTTTGGAATGGGAACTATAATTGCACTGTTCCAAGAGAGTGGTCGGGTTCTTATCACCCATACTCTGTTGATGAGATTCAAGAAGGCTTCTTCACCCTTTTCTCCTAGCTTGGCTAGCATGTTGTAAGTGTGTAAGTGATTTTGTCCTCGCCTTTAGATGTATTTTTAGTTTTCTTTGTAGCACTTCTGAGTTCTTTCAGATTGAAAAGTTGGTCTAGTTCGTCAGGTAAGGCTAAAGCATCATCTATTTTTTTCCATCTTGTTACTTGAAGTCTTTGTTGGTGAGTCAGAGTTGCTTGAGGAAGTTGAGTGGAACTGGCTCTTGAAGCAAATAGATCTGCTAACCTTTCTGCTTCTTGCTCTGGATGAACATGGTGCGGCAGAGCAGGA